AGATTTACATATAATTCAAGGTGCTGATAACCATGGTGTATACTGTATAAGATTTTAGCTTATTTGAGAGGAAAGAGGGACCATCTATCTTGCATTGTCTGCTCATCATGTTTGTTCTAACAAGATCAGCTTGCTTTGGGCCCTATCAATTAAACAATGTAATGCAGCAGGAATCAAGTTTTGTCTGTCATTGCACCTATTCCTTGGAACAGTATTTTCATCAAGGTTTTAATGGAATTTTTTCTCCACTCTAAAAACTATTTTCCTCAGGCATATATTTTGTGTGGGCACCTTTTAGCTGGGATATAATATTCAAGTATGGTATGTTATTCCTCGAGATAATTCATTTATATAATCCTGTGCATTTTATATATGATCTTATTTCCTTTTTCACTTTATAAAACTAGCCACAAGCCATTTTTCACAGATAATAAGACTCACAGGCACTGAGGAGCTTTCCTGAAATCTGGCAGAAATTTCCACTACACAATCATTTCCAAAGGTTAATTCTTGAAATCTGAAAAATATTTTAGCTAGAGAGAAAACCCTGATGCACTTTGGAACTAATAATAAATATAAAACTCTTTATTCTTCTTTTTTCTGATGGTAAGAGCACATATTATATTCTTGATGTATATCAAGTGTTTCAATAGAGAATAACATCAATACAATATATATATATAAATTTTCTTAAGTTTTCGCGGGTACTTACATGTATGGCATTCAGCTTTGTTCGGGTATTTTCCCACGTCATAGTAGTTGTGCTTTTAAAGTACAGAAGCCTGATGATGGCAGATGAGATTCTGCTGAAACGTCGCTACAACTTTAAAAGCACAACTACTATGACGTGGGAAAATACCCGAACAAAGCTGAATGCCATATATATATACGGGGGGAGGGGAGGGGGGAGAGGGAGACGGAGAGAGAGAGACTTATTATGGCTTTTTCTAGCAATTGTATATTTAATAAACCTGATCAAAATAAGCACTTACCAAATGGGTGCTTTTAGATTATGTAACTTCTCTGCAATATCTTATTGTTCAACCTATTTATCTTTCAACCACCTATACAATAAGCCACATTTTTTATTATAAGGCATCTTTATCATCTGTGCATAAAATTATACAGGGTGTAAATGTAGGCCTAGCTTTTATATAGAGTAGCATTTTTCATTTTTAACATCAGTGTTGCAAAATCTTTAGCATATTTTGAACACTATTTTGTTGATAAATTAATAGGACTATTATGTGAGTTATTTGAATTATATTACATACAGGTTTTTTTTTGTAAATTTTATTTGAGTTTTCACAAAGAGAAAAAAAAATACAAATAAAACATCTTTTTTGAAAGTAGCGTAATCCCGGGTTACATTTTTTCATACAGACACAAATTCAGGTTCATGCTCATTTTTATATTCTATTCCATATCTTATTACTATTTTACATTTTCTGCATAGCTTCTCACCTCTTTTAATTTTCTCAATTTTATTTTAATTATCTCATCTCAATTCAAATCATTGTATTTATATTTTTTGTCTGTCCTGTTTCAATTATCTATTATCTTTTCTCATTAAACAAAATTTCTCCTGTAGTTACTGATTGGAGTATGACGCCTTTATATCTTTTAAGTTTATCCATTTAACTCTTATTTAGGCTTCAATATATACCCTAAAGTTATAACATTCAATATAATACATAACTTCCATTCGGATTCTGCTTGGTACATTCTTAAAATACACACTATGTTCTTAAAAAAAGAAAAAATTATAAATGTATATAATTAAAAACAACACATTCCATTCCAATTCAATTCTATCATTAATATTCATTAAAGTCTTAACATCTTTAACATTACTTTTCAATTAAATATCATACTTCTATGGGAACAATTATAAGCTTTCCATAGTTAATCCCCCCCTTCACTTATATTTTACAAAACATTAACTAATTAAAATGTTCCCATTCCTTCCTAATTCAATTTTCTCATTTATTTTATTTCACTTATTTATTCACAAACATTTCACTAAATTACACTAACTATTTTATCCCTCATTTTAATCATACATTGTTTCCAATTTTCTAAAGTTATTTCTATTACTAATATAACAATACAATCTTATGTACCTTTACAGAATCCCTTTTTCAGTTAGATTTTCATCCATTATCTCGAAATAGGTCCTGTTTCTCTATATCTTGCTCCGGTCCTTTGTAACTTCTTTTCCTTTCCTTCTTCCCTCTCTTCTTCTCTCCCCCCTTTTTACCCCTTTGTCTCTCTACCTCTATTTCTCTCTTCTGTATTCCCCTTTTCTGTTGCTTTCCAGTATTATACTTATTTTTTGAATTATTTTTCTTTTCTTTGGTTGTTTTTTTAAGTCTTAAATTCTCCATTCTCTTTCCCCCCTTTCCTTTTTCTTCCCCTCATAAAATTACTTGTTCATTAAAGATGGCTTCTTCTTTGTCCCAGTCTTCTTGTTTTACAGACATTTCTTGTTGTTTCTCATAGTTCCAAATCTCCATTTCTAGGAATTGAAAAACGAAGCCAAAAGAACCCTTCCCTTCTTGTGCATCTTCTTTGTACTTTTTAAGTTCCATTTTCAATTCATCCAGAAGTGGTGCCATTGTATACATTTTTAAACAACCACCCGATTGATTTTAGTCATTAAAATATAACCAAGAATCCAAAGATCACCAAATAATCCAAATACACGCAAGCTGTTTCTTTTTGCTCTTTTTTTTCACTTTCTCTTCCTGGGGTTACTGTTTAGTTACAAAGTTTCAGGTAAAATGTATCTTTTAAGTCTTGTTGAAGTTTTACTGTAGATTCTTTTTAATTCCAGGCAGTCTCCTCCCTCTTCCAGATCCTGCCCTTATTCTTTTTCTCTCCCTTCCTGCTTATGAAAAAGAAAATTTTTAATGTCCAGAAATCTTTATTATCCCTTTGGCATTTTGTTTTATTTTCAGCTTAAGTACCTATTGATGTCAAAGCGGATTTTTCCAATTTCTTATTTAAGTCTCTTAGTTGTCAGTATAGGGAAGGAGAGAGAAGGGAAAAAAAGCCAAACCTTTCCCTTTTCACTTTCCTTCACTGCTTCCGACTCTTCTTTGGGAGCGATGTTATTTTTTGTAAGTTTATATTCCAGGGTACCTTAGTTGTTGCTTTTACAATTTAACCCAGTCAGCCAAAACTTTCACTTCTTCCTCCTGCACATTCTTTTCCGGTTGAGTTCTTCTTTGTGGTGGCCATTTCTGACCACCGCTGCAAACGCCTTTGGGAAAGGGAGTAATGGCCAGCTGAGGAGGAGAGATGCGGCTCTCCTCGACACTGCTGGCGGTCTCCTCCCTCTTCACCACCTCTACGGGGTGGCTTAGCCCTAAAACCGGCTGGCTCGGGGCGCTCCAGCGGCGAGCCCAGACAGAAACCACGCACGATCGCGGATTTCTGTCTGTCACCGAAGAGACTTCAAACCAGAAGGGCCTATATTACATACAAGTTTACTCACATCATAGGGTTGTATAGCTTGTCCTCTCACAAAGCATATGGTGAACTGAATTAATAAGCTTGCATATGACATTAGCCAGATTCACTCAAATTATATGCTGAGCCACAAATTAGGCAGCCTCATTTTAGCTAACATCTTGGGCAACCAGACCATATGTGCTTCCTTAGAAGTTCAATTGTAATAAAATCAATATTTTCTTAAACTTTTTTTAATAGAAAAAAGATTTACTATTGTCAATTAGAAATATGGTTCAGGTGGCTCCACTAATGAAGTGGATATACTTGTTCTCTCTGTGCCTAGGGTTTGTATATTTTAATTTTATTTAATTTTAAACATGTTATATATATATGACTGTTTTATTGGGATGTTGTCTGCCAGCCATAATAACCTTTGGTGATATGGATGGCCATGTAAATTTGATAAGTTAATAAACAATAACAGATCTATTGACCTCCATCCTTTGTGAAATAAGTCCATTACTCTAGTAAAATGCTAATGAAGAACTTCTTTATGTAAGAGCAGATGGAAAAAAAGAAGGGTGGGGCAATTGGATAGAATTTCTGTCTAACCAATTACTAGTGACTCTATAAAACAGGAAACAGATGCTGATAGCTTTGGTGACAATTGTGTCATCATTACACTTCGATAGAAATTTGTTGATATACTTCTCTATTAAAATGAATATTCTATTACCATGCACACAGTATGAATAGCAGTTAAAAGTCTTGTTTATAGTCTATGATTGTAATGCTCTGAATAGATTAAAGTGTATCACCAGCAAATTTCTACAATTAAAGGTGCATTAACTTTAAAAAAAACTATACTGTCAAAACTGAAGGTTTACAGAAAAAGCAATGAGTCCTTAAAATTTTATTGCAATATGCCTTGACATTAATTTATTACATATGTTTTAAAATGGCAAAATGAATATTCATTTGTGGTTTTACCAGTTATTTTACCCTTATAACCACACTATAACCTACCTTAATGAAAAGCAATATAAAACGTTGCAGTCTCAACGAACACGTTACCCAACACGCTTAAACAAGTCAGTTAAAGAGACGTTTTAACAGATTAAAACAGAGTTGGAAGAGCCCTTGTAGGTCATCTAGTCCAACCACCCAACACCATTTCTGACAGATGGCAGTCCAGTCTCTTGAAAGCTTTCAGTGATGAAGCTCCCACAACTTCTGAAGGCAAGCAGTTCCATTGGTTGATTGCTCTCAATGTCCGAAAATTTCTCCTTATTTCCATTTCGTAGTGATCTCGTGCGTACAACCTAACACATCTTGGATAGTTTTAACCAGTTATGGGGATTTGTGTGTGTGTGTGTGTTTCGTCTTCTTCGATTCCAATGAATCGATTCCAAGGAAAGGCGAGCTTGGAACCGGAAGCCCGACTTGCAAGAAGGCAATTCGGAAGAAAGACTTGTCGCCCAAAACAAGCATGGTGGCGACGGCGACTTTTCCCCTCATCCCCGCCCATACGAGGAGGCAGGAGGGAGGGGGATGGACCCGGCGAAACAAGAAAGGGAGCGGGCGCTTTTGAAGCCGCCCGCGAGCAGCTGCCTCCCAGCGGCCGGGTAGACGAGAGCTCAGAACCGGCGGTGAGGCCATGAGCCGTAGCGCTGGCGAAGCGCTAGGGAAGCTCCTGAAGGTGCAGGCCTTCCGCTTGCCCGGCCGCCACGGTTACGCAGTAGAACTTTCGCCGTACCTGCCGGGGCGTTTGGCCTGCGCTACCTCGCAGTACTACGGGATTGCAGGTGAAACGGCGGCAAGTGGCGCGTGCGCAGTGGCGGCGGCAGCAACAATAATTCTGCTGCCTTGAGTCTTTGGTCGCGTCAAAAGGGTGGCTGGAGAGAGAGAGAGAGAGAGAGAGACAGAGATAGGAGGACAAGGCTGTGTGGACCAGACTCGTCCTGTAAAAGGCAGGGCTACTATAGGCTCCAGTCTGCGTGCCTGTTTGAGGTGCTTTCACTGAGATAATGACCTGGTTTGGATAGTCTCATTTCCCGCCCATTCTTAGGTTTCACGGGATTTACTTTACCAGCTTGCAAATTTTTGCAGCTTAGTTTGCATTTAACCGAGCTGATAAAAGTTTACCTGGGACAGAAGTGCATACATGCTCTTGGTGGCCCAAAATTAACTGGCAGTCTTCAAGCGTGATATGCACCCTTTAGGGCCGTATTATTATTTTTAATAAACTGGGTCAAGAGATCATGAAAAACTGGGGGAAGAAGGGCTTGGGAAAGCTATGATTAAGTGCTGCACACAATCCTGGCGTGGGAAGAGGGTGCTGAGGCTTTCCTGGTTGAGTGCTGTCAGGTTACACCCAGTTGGGAATGAAGAAAGTACAAGAAAAAGTTACCTTCTTTTGAAATGGAAATAAAATGGTTAAAACAAGCTTTTGACAAGTTGAGTGGAAAAATTTCAGCTAAAAACGTATGTGCACCCTAAACAAACACATGGTTTACTATTAGGGTTGCGGCTGGTAATTTTTTTATGTGATTGAAGAAATTGGTTAATAACATAAAATCTGTAAGTTGAGGACTACCTGTATATCTCTTTGTAAATCAAGTATTGAAAATATTCTTTACCTATAGCCACCAGCCTAATTATGTTTGGTAGTATAGGTAGGCCTTGACGTATGACCACAATTGAGTCCAACATTTCTCTAAGTGAGACAGTTAAGTGAGTTTTCCCCCATTTTATTACCTTTCTTGTCACAGTTGTTAAGTGAACCACTGCAGTAGTAAAATGGTTGTTAAGTGAATCTGGCTTCCCTATTGACTTTGCTTGTCAAAGGTGATCACATGACCCTGGGACACTGCAATCATAAATATGAGTCAGTTGCCAAGCATTGGATCATGAACATGGGGATGGTGCAGCGGTCGTAAGTGTGAAAAATGATCATGTCACTTTTTTCAGTGCTGTTGTAACTCTGAAAGCTCACTAAACAAATGATTGTAAATCAAAGGCTACCTATATTGCATCTGGAAGGTGAATCTTCAAAGATAACAAAAATGCTTTAGGAAAACAATAATACCTTAGGAAAGAGGCATTCCCACATAGGATATCAGAATGGTGTGCTTGAGGCCACAATCCAAAAAGTCGGCAGTTCAAGGATGAAAAGGGGGAAAATCATAATTTTTATTGAATTAAAATTAAATAGTTAATATGTAATTCCATGTCATATATTTAGTGATTTTCTCTCAGTCATGGTGACATTTGAATAAGTTCCAGGGATACACATGAAACATTTAGGTTTGCATGCAACTATGGGATCTTCGGTTGCATTTCCATTAGACATGGAATAAGTATACAATTAGCTATCCAGTACAGTTACACAAGTATATCATAGTCATTAGATCTATATGTCACTCCTTTAGCCCAGTATCTTGTAGACCAGATACTGCAAGAATTCCAGACATGCTGCTTTATTGTTGTGAGGTATAAAACAGAATCTTGAAAGTCAGTCAGTTTCCCTCTGCCTTCTCTTTCACCAAACAGAATCAACGCCAGCTTATTTTGAGTTTCTTTCTTTCTCATTATTTTCACATTTCCAGGATTCATTTGTTTCTTTTCCCTTAAGTGTTCGACCGTTCCTTCCATAAGGTCATCTCTACATTATTTTAAACTATATCTGAAGTTGTGACCATTATATTTTTTGTATCCTAAAGTCAAATATCTCTTCAAATGTTTATTTGAAAGTGCTTCCTACTTCTTTTTCCCATCTCAAGCTTTCAAAATGGTTCTTGAAATGTACAACTTTGAAGGCACTAAAAGGCAACACTGATTCTGCTTAACAATCCATGCTATAGAGATGTATTTTTATATTTAGTCTCTGGAGGCTTATTAACTGTAAAATTCATCGGAGTGTATCCTGTACATCTTTTGGAAAAGAAGATGGTAGAGCACATAATTTGTATATAATATCTTTAGTTAAAAAAGTTAAACAATAAGTGATGAAAAAGACGTCTCACCCTAAAAAAGCACTGCCAGTCAGAGTAGCATTTCTATGTTAAGTTGATATAATTTGACAAGGCTGTAAGGTAGGCTTCAGTGTTTCTGAAAGGGGTTCCCAAAGTTCAGCAGTTTTCAAGAATCTTACTCTAAATTAGTCCATATTATATTGTAAACCAGGGGTGTCAAATTGATGTCCTACAGGCTGGATGCCTCATGCACATGCCACCCCAGCTCCGCAAAGGCCACACCCACCCCAGCTCCACAAAGGCAAAAAACATTGCGGTACATCACAATACATCACATGACATGCTCGAACTTGACACCAGTGCTGTAAACCATTGTTTTTAGTGTTGTTTTTATTGTCTTCAATTTTAGGTTGTGGAACTCTAGTAGTGTTGGAACAAAATGAAGCTGGACTTCATCTTTTCAGGAGGTATTTTGTTCTTTTCATAATAAAAATAATTATTACATAATCTTGTGCTTTTGGAATTAGATATTCTGATGTAATTTTAATAAAACTATCAAGCACACTTATACTACTAAATTCTTGTGCATTGATTTAATAGAGTAGTATTGAATGAAGGGGGGTTGAAAGAAGTATTGACAATAGAACAATTCAGAATCCTTTAAAGCCTCAAGAAAACATGTCAACAGTATTTTTAGGAAGTAAAAGCTTCCTAAAACAACTAGATTTTTTTTTGATGCAACACAGATGTATACCTTCTAAATTTTATTTAGTTTAGTGCAATCTTGGAAAATTATGAATGTCTACATTTTTGTTATGCACGATAATATTAAAGTTTTTGTGAAGGGTATTGCCAGCTTCAAATTTTGTCTCATGAGGCGTTGCCGGTCCCACTGCGGGGATGAGGGGTCAGCTGGCGGCCTGCGCCCGGACCGACTGCCCGGGCGGGCTTCTCTCATGGCGGCAATGATGACAACAACACAAAGGCTTGTTCTTGGGAGAGGAAGCCCAGAGCAAACTGTGCCCCCTTCTTTTATTGTGCCAGTTTAGGGTGGGATTTGTGATGTGTGTGGAAATAGTACATTTGACCATATAAGGCTATGTTTGGCATAGTTTGACCATATAAGGTTA